TTTAGTAGAGATGGGGTTTCACCGTGTTGACCAGGATGGTCTCGATCTCTTGACCTCGTGATCCACCCGCCTCGGCCTCCCAAAGTGCTGGGATTACAGGCTTGAGCCACCGCGCCCAGCCAAGAATAGATTTTCAATGTAGATGGAACAGTACTATTTTGGAAGAGGCCTTTAAGATTTTCATAGCTACAAAGAGAAGTCAATACCTGGCTTCAAAGAACAGGCTGAATCTTTTGTTAGGGGCTAATACAGCTGGTGACTGTAGGTTGAAGCCAATGCTCATTTGTCATTCTGAGGGCCCTTAAGAAATTATGCTAAGTCTAAAAACAATATTCATCTCTTTGTACATCTTCATCAGAGCACATGAGCTGTAATATTTGAAAGGAATCTTTTTTTTTGAACGTAGTCCTTAAAAGTGGTCTTAAAATATTCAGTAAACCAAGATGCACTATCATCCAGGCTTTACTGTTTTTTTTTTTTTTTATGGGGAAAGCATGCCTGCTAACACAACATTCACTCTGCAGCCCATGATAAAAGCATTCCCTTTTCTCTACATTCTTGTCAATACTTAACAGAAAGTCCAATAACAGCCATCCTAACAGTTGTGAGGTGGTATTTTACTGTAGCTTTGATTTACATTTCCCTGATGACTATAATGTTGAGTACCTTTTCATGTACCTGGTTGGCCATTTTGTTATCTTCTTTGAGAAATGTCTATTCAGGGCCTTCACCCATTTTTTTTTTTTAAATTGGGTTATTCTTTTTTTTTTTGTTTTTTGCTATTGAGTTATGTAAGTTCCTTATATATTTTTAAAATATTAACCCTTTATCAGATATATACTTTTCATATTTTGTCCCAACCTGTAGGCTACCCTTCATTTCATTCCTTCTTTCTTTTGTGGTAAAGAAGCTTTTTAGTTCAATGTAGTCCCAATTATTTATTTTAGCTTTTGTTGCCTAAGCTTGTGGTGTGATGGCCAAAAAACCAATGCCAAGCCAATATCAAGGTGCATTTCCCTGTTTTCTTTCAGCACTTTTATAATTTCAGGTCTTAAATTTAGGTCTTTAATCCACTCTGAGTTAACTTTCATGTGTAATATAAAGGTCCAGCTTCATTCTTTGGCTGGTGGATATCCAGTTTTCCCAACACCATTTCTTAAAGAGTCTATCCTTCCCCCATTGTGTCTTCCTGGTGGCCTTGTCAAAATTGGTTGTCTGTGGTATTCCTTTCTAGTCACAGTTCCTAAAGTTCAGAACACGCATGGTTTTATAATTTATTGCCTGACCTATTACAACAACTAAACAGGCTTACCTGTCACCATTTTCTAACCACTCCCATCAATTACATCACAGTACTGGCAGTTTTGACTCATATTTAAGAGCACTGTGCCATAAAGCAATGAAAACATTTAGTGATTCCTTCCTCCCCCACAATATTCAAAATTATGTCCACTCTGTAGCAAGCAATCAAGGACAACCAAGAGAGTTTTTCAATCAAATGCCTATTCTCTCCCTTTCACTTTAACCAGATGGTATGTTGATTCTCAAGAATGTCCAGCACTTCTCTGCCTAAATCTTACACATGAAAAAGCTTCTACATTATTTATGATCTAGCACAAACATTCTGGCTTCCACAAAATCCTTTCAGCACACCTAATCAAAATTTGCTGTTTTCTCATTTGCATTCTCTCACTGGAATTGTATGTAATTCTAACAGAGCACCAATCTACCTACATATTATCAAGGGTAAGTGGTAGTACACATTCAAATATTCTTAAAGATGTTAAACGTTTTTATGACATGTTTGTATCTTGAAATGTACTAAGTGTTTACCTAATAAATGTTTAGATCAAGTTTGTCAAACATATGGCCCATATGCAGCCCAGGATGGCTCTGAATATACCCCAACACAAATTCATAAACTTTCATAAAATATTATAAGTTTTTTTTCCAATTTCTAAAAAAGCTTATTGGCTGTTAGTGTATCTTATGTGTGACCCAAGACAATAATTCTTTTTCCAATGTGGCCCAGGAAGTCAAAAGATTGGACCCTGAATAATACTTTCATATACACAATACTCCCCAAATGAATTCACAATTCATCTACTAACCTCATAATTTTCTACTTCTCCATCTTCTACATCCAATTCAAAGCTGAAAGTTGGGCCCACTGCAGGTGGCACTGGAAGCATTGATCTGCAGTGAAAACAATCACACAAGCATTGATATATGAGTACATTAATTCAATGAACAGGACAGGGAGGACAGAGGCCAGTGCTATAAGGATGAAGAATGGTCACTTACCCAAACACATGCAAGAACTAAACAATAAAAACTGCAGATATACTGCTAGGATAACTTAAAAGTGAATAAACAGAAATATGCCATATAAGATTAGCAGACTCAGTATCATTAAGATGTCACTTTTTCCTTAAAATAATCTGTAAATTTCATGCAATACCTACCAAGATTGCAGCAAGTACTTTTTAAGTAAAAACTCACATGCTGGTTTTAAAATTTATAGGGAAATGCAAAAGACCTTAAATTAAAACATTTTAAGAACAAAATTGGGAGACATATATATCTGACATTAAGACAGAAAGATAAATAGAGAAAAGGAGGAGGAGGAGGAAGAAGGAAGGAAAAACTACAACAGTGTGGTAATACAGGCATGTGGCCTTCTGGTATAAAGACTGTACTCCCTAGCTTTCCTAGAAATTATAGACATGTGACTAAGTTATGGCCAATGTGATACACAGGCGGGGTTATACGTGCACCTTCTGGGACATAACTTTGAGAGGAGCAGGTAGGCAGAGGAATCTGTTTTTTTTTTTTTTTTTTTTGCTAGGTGGAATGTGGACCTATGACTAGAGCCTGAGAGGCCATCTTAGATCATGGATAGGAAGCAATTAACAATGTTCATAGTCACAGGGCTAACAAATCATTGAGTTGCCTATTTCTAGACTTTATTATATGAGAGAGAAATAAAGAACTACCGACCACGCGAGATGGCTCACACTTGTAATCCCAGCACTTTGGGAGGGCAAGATGGTCAGTTCTCTGAGGTCAGGAGATTGTGACCAGCCTGGCCAGCATGGTGAAACCCCATCTCTACTAGAAGTACAAAAATTAGCTGGGCATGGTGGTACATGCCTGCAAGTACCACCAGCTACTTGGGAGGCGGAGGCAGGAAAATCGCTGGAATCTGGGAAGCGGAGGTTACAGTGAGCTGAGATTGCACCACTGCACTCCAGCCTGGGCAAAAGAGTGAGACTCTGTCCCAAAACAAAGCTACCATGTTTACCACCTATGGGTATTTCTCTTACAGACCAACTTAATCCAAACAGAGTAGTTCTAAGACATAGAAATAATTTTTTTCCTTTTTCCCCCCAAGAAAAACAGGACCAAAAGCTGAATACTCAAGATTGGTGGTAAGTAACAGCAGTTGTAAAAGAGGCAAAAATCTTAACCTTGCTTCTTGATTTGTTAAACCTATTTTTTGGCTCACAGGTTTCTTCCTTCCCCACTTCTCCAATGTTACTATTCTCCTTCTTTCACCTTTAACTGGCTCCCCTCACCCCACCCTTTAACATTAAGTAAAAACAAATAACTGACACACCCCAGCTAGACCACAAAGACGACATTCATAAAGGAAAGATAATCTCAAGAGTTTCAAAATTTAGAAATCATTAAGATAAGAAAAAACTTACAACACATATGGCAGTAAGCTGGGATGATACGGGGGAGGTGGTATTGGCTGCTGGGATCGATATCTACTACGTCCTGTGAGCCTACGAGGCATAAATGGAGGATAAGGCTGCAGGGAAAAAAATGTTAAAAAAAATTTAGGACTCCACATTTAAAAATAATCTGTCAAATTAAGTATCTAAAAAAAAAACAACACTAAAGTTCTTTATTGTTCAAGGTTTTTAGTATGTTTTAAATTCGAACTTATTTATGCAACAACCATTTTAAACCATACACTTAGGTGTATTTCTAAATATAATTTTCCAACTGAATGCTGTTTAGAATACATATAATTCTAAATACGGTGAGTTATACTGAAATATAACTCAGAACAAATAAGTTGCCAACACAAATAATTAACATAACAACGTATGAAAACTTACTACTCCAAAGGACACCTCCTGGTGCAAAGGATCATGTGTTAAGAACTGCAAAGGAGCTGATGGAGGTAATGTTGCGGGGTGGGCTGATGGAGGGTAAGTAAAACCTCCTACCGGAAGATGTTCTCCTAAGAGTTCCACTTCATTTTCTATCCTTTGCAGAGGCTGAGGGGAAAAAATATATATGTGTTTAAATAGATGATGCTTTACAATAAGCACAAATTTAAAACCCCCAAATGTCTCTAAGGCTATGCATCTCTTGATGTTCACACGAATCTAAAATTCATGCAAGTAAACATATAGACTACAGTAAAATCTTCCTACGTTTAATTTCAATAAGGTTTAAAACATGTTATTAAACAATTCCATTATTCTCCATTTATTTTACTACTTGAGACTTCTCTTAAAATGAGAAGACAAAAAAAAAAAAAAAAGTAATCAAGTAAGCCAATGATAGGAAAATTAAAATTACTTTTCCAGTCATAGCACCCTGATCTAAAAAATTTTCAGACACAATGTTTCACAGATTAAACAAAACATGAAGTGCATTTATAAATCAGAAACGGGGCTAAATGAGATATGGTACAGAAAGCATAATGCTGTGCAAAAAGATTGTGGGCTTTTGGACATTAGACAGAATCTTGGTACTGTCACCAATAAGCCATGTAACTTTTCGATAAATTACCTAATCTGAACCTGAGTACTATCATCCATAAAACTGGCATGTTCATAGCCTAATTCAAAAGTTTGTGGTGAACACTGAGGCAATGTGGTGCTATGCAAAGCACACAGCAGATACGTATTTTTTTAAAAGAACAGTTCAGCTGGCGGCAGAGGCACATGCCTGTAATCCTAGCACTTTGGGAGACTGAGGTGGGTGGATCACCTGAAGTCAGGAGTTTGAGACCAGCCTGACCAACATGGTGAAACCCTATCTCTCTATTAAAAATACAAAAATTAGCCAGATGTGGTGGCAGGCGCCTGTAATCCTAGCTACTGAGGAGGCTGAGGCAGGAGAATCACTTGAACCCGGGAGGCAGAGGCTGCAATGAGCTGACATCACACCACTGCACTCCAGCCTGGGCAACAAGAGGGAGACTCCGTCTGAAAACAAAAACCACAAGAAAACAAAAACCAGTTCATTGAGATATAACTGACATACGATAAAGGAATGCAACTAAATAGATTTTTGGTATATTCACAATTATGTAACCATTATCTAATTCCAGAACATTTTTAACACCCCAAAAAGAAACTGTATGCCCATTATCAGTCAATCTCCATTTCCCCAAGCCATCAGCTTACCATTTTTATGTATGCTTATTCTACACATTTCATGTAAATGGAACCAGTTCATTTAAATGGAACAAGCAAGAAGTTGTGTCTATCTTCTTTGCTTAGGATGTTGCTTTCAAAGCTCATCCGTTTCGTGGACTTTATCAATGCTTCACTCCTTTTTATGGGCGAAAATTACATTGCAGGGATACCACTCTTTGCTCATCCATTTATGAGTTGATGGACATTTGGATTGTCTACTTTTTGACTATTAGGATATAATGCTACTACTACATTTGTGTACACATTTCTGTGATGTTTTCAATTGAATTCTCTTGGGCACATGTATTTTTAAATGTTAGTCTGACTTCCTCCCTTAGTTACAGAATAGCAACATGTTATTCAAATATAAGTAAATACTAAGCTTTAGTTTGGAAGCCTATGCATGCTTGAGAGAAATCACAACTGCTTACACTATGACAACACTACTGAAAATGAAGTCATGATATGGCTATGTGAGTGGACCTTTAAAAGAATTCCAAATTTAGATACCAGTGATAGCTAAATTTTGCTTTAAGCCTGAATTCCCAGATACTGGAAGCTGAGAACTTCCTGGCACAAATCCAATCCTAATTCCAAGAAAAGATTCTCTTGCAGAAGCAATTCTAACTTTTATGATGAGCCAGACTTGTGTCATAATTGCTTCTATAGTTTTCAGGACAGCAGCCTCTTTGGTACCCAGCATGGTACAGAAATCCTTAGTAAACAATGGAAAGACTCTGCTATAATAAACTGTCCAGTTCTTTCCATAGAGCTGAAATCTTCCACTCTAGCCATTTCCATAGGTTCTCTCTCCTGTTTCTCCTTAATGTCTGATGGTTCCAATGCTAAACCCAGCCTATTCAAAGAACTGGACCTTTTTTTCCTGTGCCCTTCTTTGTACTTACATAGTACTTACCTCTCCCAGTCTCTTAAAATAATATGTCTCTCAACTATATCACGGTCCCAAGACAGAATTAGCTACATTAATAGACTACCTCATCTACTTTTTATCACAACAGTGGAAAACCAGGCCTTCAGAAAAAGTAATTGAAATTCAGAAGGGTTAATTTACTTACCTAACTGAATACAAATATTATTCTAACAAGTATTAACAATTTTATAGTATTCTCATTTTCCAATTTAGAACCACATAAAAAGAAAAAAACAGTACAACTAAAAACTTTTCTTCAGATTTACTTCCTGAAGGGTTCCAGATGCGATAGAAAACAAATGTGACATTAAAATAACTAGAAAAATTTAAGAAACCAGAAATTTAAGGTAAATGTCTTTACTAATTTGTATATGTTTGGATTCCTTTAAGAACCAGAAGAATGCCTAAGTTATTATGTTTATTTTTTTTTTGGAGACAGAGTCTCGCTCTGTCGCACAGGCTGGAGTACAGTGGCATGATCTTGGCTCACTGCAGCCTCTGCCTCCCAGGTTCAAGTGATTCTCCTGCCTCAGCCTCCTAAGTACCTGGGATTACAGGCATGTGCCACCATGCCCAGCTAATTTTTGTATTTTTAGTAGAGAAAAAATTTCACCATGTTGGCCAGGCTGGTCTTGAACTCCGGACCCAAGGTGATCTGCCCGCCTCAGCCTCCCAAAGTGTTGGAATTACAGGCGTGAGCCATTGCACCTGACCAAGTTATTATGTTTAAATGTGCCATTTAAACATAGTAACTTAGGCATTCTTCTGGTTCTTACATCCACTAAGGTTATCTGCCTGGTCTAAACATTCTGAAAAAATTAAAAATTAATTAAAAATTAAGACTTCTGACATAATAGTAGAGATACCTACCGATCGTGATTGCTGTGTCTGGAAAGGGACAAACTGGCCTGGTGGTGGCAAATGAGGAGGATGATGGGGAGAAAGGTGAGGAGGATGTATAAGAAATGGATCACTAGAAATAAGGGGTGGGAATGCAGCATATGGTACTGGTAAGTGCTGAACTGAACATGCCTGAAGCATCTGTAAAAAAGAAACCATTACAGTAGTGAGATTCAAATCTGTCATTGTCATACCTCTCCCAAAATCATACAAATGTTTTAATAACTTATATTAACAATGAACTACTAGTATATCTACTGGTAAAGTATAAAGTATTGATAATAATTATTCTGTATTTTATATAATTTTTACAAACTGGTTGAACCACTTAACTTTATTTTAGCCTTTTAAACATCTATGAAACAGGGTGCAGGAGTAAGTCCTGCCTAGAAAAGGAACCTCTCTCTAGTTGGTTTAAGAAGTAGCAAACACTAGTGATACTTCAAGAAACTCCCCTTTTCAATCCTGCAGAAATATTTTTCTTCCTAGGATTTTTATAAGAACACAACTGTCAATTAATTGCCTTATGATCTCTCAGTATGTTAATTCTTAAATTTGGTACAATGTTTCTATCACTTGAAACACCAAGCTTGGGTAAATTAATCTGTTAAATTAGTATTGGGTGTGTGGGGTGGCGCGCGCGCGCGCGTGTGTGTGTGTGTTTAATCTGTTAAATTAGCATGGGGGGAGTGTGTGTGTTTTAATGTCACATTCAGAGCAAGGTATTAAGAGTTATATTTAAGATTTGCTAAGTGCTTTCCTTTGAAGACATTGTTGACCTTAAATAAATCATTTAAATACAGTACCCTCATTTCTGAAAGGGGGCTGAGATTAAAGGACAAAACATAAGCTTCAGAGGCAAGAAAAAAAGTGGGTATGAATCTCTGCTCTCCCATCTTAGCTGTTTCTATGACACTAAGCAAGTCATTTAACTTTTCAGATTCAGTGACGAGAAAATGGCGGCTGATGCTATTTTCATCATAGTTTTCCTATAGTAAGGAATAAGACCAAGCACTCAAATTGCCCATTAAAACTCAGTAAGTGATGAACACTAAGGTCTCTGAGACTTAGACTGACCTTCATTGGCTTTAACTATAAATGGGGTTGATATATGAGAAAACATGGTTTGACCTTCAGCATATTCAAATATGTATAATCAATGTAAAACTATAATATCAGGTTTTAAAGCTAATTTTATTAAATGGTTGCTGAGATTTTTGTTGCAATAAAATTGGCCTTTTCACTTTAAAGTGAAACTACAAAAGGAGTCTCTTAAATTTCATTTGCTTATATAATGCAGTTAGCTCCTCTAAAGAGGGATTCCAGAGTCAATAAGTTACAAAACCAAATTCGGGCTGGTGTGCTTAATAGTAATATCTAATGAGAACAAAGACATAGACTTACTGGAGGAGGCACACTACAGACAGGGAGGTGCTGTCCACTGAAAACCACAGAGCATCCTGGGACCTGCTGTGTACTACAAGCAGGGATGTGCTGGCCTGTGCAGAGTGGAATCCCATGCGGTGCCACTGTTGTTACTGTGTAAGAAACAGGGACTGTTCCTTGATGGAGCTTTAAAGAAAAAACAAACGAACTTTAGCTGTTTAGATAAAAATGTTAACTATTCAAAATCAACATTTGGTCATTTACTGGCTCCTCTCTGGGCTACCTGGATTTTCACAATGTACTCTCCAATAGTTTTAACCAGAATATTCATTGTCTTTTTATGGGAGAGCTGGCTATTTCAAGAGTATGTACTATTCCCACAAAACTGGGGCTAAACTCCTCCCTCAAATGACTTCAAAAGCCCAGGGAAATAATGGATTACTACATTAACCCTTATAAGGCAGAGTACTTTCTTAAAAAGAAAATTTCTGGAAACATGAAAGCTTTTATCTTCCATTATTTGGTCACATTCAAAACAAACTTTCAATACAACTAGCAAAACAATGCAAAGTAGTATTAAAGTCTCCTTTCCCTCCTAGCCAATGTTACTCCCAACCTACCTAAAACTCAGAGGCAAACAATGCTGATAACTCATCCTTCTACTCTTTCAGCACAATTACACATAAATTGTCATGTTTTTGTTTTCTTAAAAGAAATGAGATCATACTACTTTGTAACGTTGTTTTTCCATTTAATACTACATTGCAGATATGTATTCAAGATATGTTGTTTTTGATACTAGCCAGACATTTCAAGAAACATTCGCTTAACATAGTCCTATCATATGGTGTACCAACACACGTTCATGTTGTTTTCAATTCTTTTGCCAATATAAACACAACTGAAAAAAATATGATATTAGTTTGGCCGGGCACAGTGGCTCACACCTGTAATTTCAGCACTTTGGAAGGCCGAGGTAGGTAGATCAGCTCATCAGGAGGATGAGACCAGCCTTGCACACATGGTGAAGCCCCATCTCTACTAAAAATAAAAAAATCAGCCGGGTGTGGTGGCGGGTGCCTATAATCCCAGCACATTGTGGAAGGCAGTGGCAGGCTGATCACTTGAGGTCAGTATTTTGAGACAAGCCCAGCCAATATGGTGAAATCCCATCTCTACTAAAATTACAAAAAAACTTTAGACAGACACCGTGGCATGCACTTATAATCCCAGCTACTTGGGAGGCTGAGGCAGGAAAATCGCTCGAACTCAGGAGGTGGAGGTTGCAGTGAGCCAAGATCGCACCACTGTACTCTAGCCTGGGTGACAGAGTGAGTCTCCATCTTAAAAAAAAAAAAAAAAAAAAAAAAAAAGAAAAAAAAGAAAGAAAGAAAGAAAGGAAAAAAAAATCTCTTCCCTCCTTGAATTCTTTGGCATTTCTGTCAAAAAGTAAATGACTAATATATGTTTATGTCTATTTCTGATAATATCTTTGAGTTTAATTCATCAATAGTTGGTGCCTTTTCTGTCTTAAGAGAAAGTCTTCCCTACTGAAGATCACGAAGTTATTCGTTGTTACTTTCTTAAAAATTTATAGTTTTGCCTTTAACACTTAAATCTTTAATCTCTCTGGCATTGACTCCTGAAAATGGTATGAAGTAATGAATCAAATGTCATGTTTTCATTTGGTCACCCAACTGTCCCAGGATCACTTATTAGCAATTCTCTCTTGTTCCAAATCACCTACATTCATTTATCAAGTCATATGCCATGTATATCTACTCATGCATCACTTAACGACTGGGACACATTCTGAGAAATGTGTCAGGTGATTTCATTGTTGTGCTAACATCATAGAGTATACTTATACAAACCTAGATGGCAGAGCCTCTATACTCCTAGGCTCATATGTCAGCCTATTGACCCTAGGCCACAAACCTGTACAGCACGTTGCTGTTGCTATACTGAACCCTATAGGTAATTATAACACAATAGTAAGTGATGGGGTTTCACCATGTTGGCAAGGCTGGTCTCAAACTCCTAGGCCTCAGGTGATCCACCTGCTTCGACCTCCCCAAGTGCTGGGATTATAGGCATGGGCTACCATGCCCAGCCCCAGGTGTAATTTTTAAAGACAGACTTGTTATGCTTTTATAATTTCTGCCATGGCTACTGGTCTGCTAAGGATTTCTACTTCTTGTGTTGTTCTGGTTATTTATATATGTAATCTTTTCATATTCCAATATACAGACTCAACACATAACACTACTATGTAAATGAGACGTTGCCTTTTCTGAAATGCAATCTTTTTTCTTTGGCTCTCCATCACTAACCACACCTCTTCACTTCAGCACTTACCCCACAAGCCTATTATGTATTTCTCTGTGTTCATATAGTCCTATACATGTAGTCACATACATATTCGTTATGCTTACCAAAATGGGACTTTGTGAACACTCCTCTATTTTGCTTTTCTTGCTCAAGGGGGTGGAGAAAAGATACAATTTTTTTTTTTTCAGTATTTATATCCATACTTTTATCAGGTTATGGCCACAAATAATGTAATGTTTCCTACATAATCAATTTTTAAAAGTATTTCATAAACATGATAAAAACGTCTGGCATAAGAACAGTATTGGGTAAGATGTTTTATCTTGATTGTCACTATATATTATCTAGTGCAGTAGATTAAAAATCAGATCCTATTCTCATTAGCTTTCTCTGGTAATTTTTTCAGTTTATAAACTTGCAAGATTTTCTCTTTATCCTTAAAATCCAGCAACTTTTATAAGGACATGTATAGATATATGTCTTTTTTTGACCTGAGAAACTCCACAGAAAACCATGAAATTGTGGTCTTCATCCTCAGGCTCTGAAGATAGGCAACCCCTCTTCTCAGCTAGTCCTTCAGTTCTGGGCAGGAAAAAAAGGGAAAGGAAGCACTGTAGCCTTGTACCTGTCATATCCTTGGAGACCTATGGAAACCTGTAAGCAAAGATGTACCCAATTGTCTTGCTTATTGAATTATTCCAGAAGAAACAGAAGGAAAGGGAAACAGGGATATGTACTCAAACTACCAGCTGTCTGCTATTCCTATTAATCTTAAATCAATAATTTCAAATCAGCCATACATGAATTCATTCTAAGCTCTCATAACCTTGATCCTTTTTTTTTTTGAGACGAAGCCTCACTTTGTCACCCAGTGCAGTTGTGTGATCTTGGCCCATTGCAACCTCCACCTCCTGAGTTCAAGTGATTCTTCTGCCTTAGCTAGGACCATAAACATCTGCCACCACGTCCAGCTAATTTTACTATTTTTAGCAGATACAGGTTTTCACTGTTTTAGGCTGCTCTCAAATTCCTAAGCTCAAGTGATGCGCCCACCTTGGCCTCCGAAAAGTGCTGGGATTACAGGCATGAGCCACGGTACCAGGCTCCCTAATTTTTTAAGTTCAACTTTCTTCTATGGAACCTGTGTAGCATTTAAATCTCAATTATTAAAAGGAATGAGGAACTTAATTAAGTTCATTTTAGGTAAAATTAAAAGAAATTTGCAAAAAAACGCCAAAAAAATCTCAAACTGCCACAAAATTTCAGCTTCTGTATTTCCAAGACATTCTATTACTGTACCTGATCATGTATGTCAACCATGACTGCATTCTGCTGGGGTGGATGAGCAGCAGGATGTAACAGACGGGGAGATACATTCGGAGGGTGGAAGGCTCGAGGCTCCTCTATTGCTTGCTGCTGTGCATAAGGGAGATGGTGATAGTTTTCATCTTGACTAATGGAATTATGTCGAGACAGACGATCCCTTCTTCCTCTCTGGCGCCTGACAGGAGGACTGTAAAAATGTCAAAAAGAAAGTCATTATGTTTATTGTTGTGATCCATCAGGATTCTGTATTGTCTTTCTTTGATATCAACAGTATATGCTAAAGTAAGCTTCAGTATTAAAGAAGCAGGAGATTTAGAGGAGCACGGGGAAGATTAGGGAAAAAGTGACTGATCTCAGCAAAGAAGGTTGCTGAAATGACACTTGGAACTCTTCCTAGAAACCCCATCTCTACTAAAAATACAAAAAATCAGCCAGGCATGGTGGTAGGCACCGGTGATCCCAGCTACTAGGGAGGCTGAGGCAGGATAATCACTTGAACACAGGAGGTGGAGTTTGCAGTGAGCCAAGATCATGCCACTGCACTCCAGCCTGGGCCACAGAGCAAGATTCCATCTTAAAAAAAAAAAAAAAAAAAAAAAAAAAATCTGAATTCTTGTCTAACCTTTAAAGAACTGGTAATTCACAGGCTGGGCGTGGTGGCTCACGCCTGTAGTTTCAGTACTTTGGGAGGCCGAGGTGGGCAGATCACTTGAGTTTGGGAGTTTGAAACTAGCCTGACTAGCATGGAGAAACCTCATCTCTTCTAAAAATACAAAAAATTAGCCGGGTGTGATGGCACATGCCTGTAAGCTTCAGTATTAAAGAACTGCTAAAATTCACCGCCAGCTCTTACAAATTTAAATACAAGGTATATGTTTTATAAAATAATGAAAGAAAACAATATTGGTATTCATCTCTGAAAGTATTTAGAAATCAACAGCTACGGAAAATTTTTTCTTGTATGATATGAAATTGCCTTTTTTATAAGTAAAAAATAGTCTAAGATCAATAATTTGGTATGATTTAACCTACTATTTTTTCCCTTCTTAAACACTGTAATAAAATGAACTTTAATCTGTATATATGTTGTCAGTATTCCTCATTCACATAATGGGCACTTTTTTGTCTTTTTAACTAACACATACAGAGTTCCTATGTGGCCAAATGATACTTTTTCAAAATAAGAGAAAAACGTGAAATAACCAAAGAACATATAATGTGCTGACAACTGCAAATAGAAACCGGGTAAACACACAATAAATATGATTGAGAATGAACATGACTGAGAGACAGTATCAACATAAATATTCCAAGAACATATAAAATTTTAACTTTTAATTTTTATGGGTACACACTGGGTGTATATATTTATATAGGATTTTAAATTAGAATTTGCTTGTTGGGCCTGGTGTAATGGGTTCATGTCTGTAATCCTAGCACTTTGAAAAGCCGAGGCAGGTGGACCCCTTGAGCCCAGGAGTTCAAGACCAGACTGGGAAACATGGTGAAACCCTGTTTCTACCCAAAATTACAAAAAATCAGTCGGGCGTGGTGATGTGCACCTGTAGTCCCAGCTACCTGGGAGGCTGAAGTGGGAGGATCACCTAAAGCCTGGAAGGCCGAGGCTGGAGTGAACCGAGACCATGCCACTGCACTCCAGCCTGGGCAACACAGTGAGATCCTGTCTTTAAAATAAAAACAAAGAGAATTTGCTTATTGAAGCAAGCCACATTTACTCTCCATGTACTAGTCATCTACACAGTTTTAATAAACATATTATTATGACTAAACTTTCATTTTGCCCTTCTCTAAACTTTCACAATTCACCTCCACTGCTTTTTACAGTGGCTCCCCAGAAAACCATCTTGAAAAAGTAGCCAGCCTCATTAAAATTGCACTCTACATTGGGCAAAGGAGGTCAAACATCTCCCTTCTAGGAAGAGTTCCAAGTGTCATTTCAGCAACTTTCTTTGCTGAGATCAGTCACTTTTTCCCTAATCTTCCCCGTGTTCCTCTAAGTCTGCTGCTTCTTACTCCAAATTCTCCAATCTTAAAAGAACAAGGGGCATTCCTTTATGAGATCAACTTGCAAAGATACTTTTGCTACCATCCCTCCAACTTCTTGCTCCATTAATTGTTTCTTCTAAGTTTATTTTTAGTATAATGCTTTTTGCATTTTGCTTCAAAATCTAGTTACTGTATTTTATTGATGCCCTCCACCTTAGGACTAAAAACTTTTTAAGATGGTGTTTCACTTTTGTCACTCGGGTGGGAGTACACTGGAGCAATCTCTGGGGCTCACTGCAACTTCCGCCTAACAGGTTCAAGTCCCTCCCGACTAGCAGGGTTTAAAGATATCTGTGCCACCACCCCCAGCTATTTATTTTCTTATTTTTTTTGTATTTTTAGTAGAGACGGGGTTTCACCAGTTTGGCCATGCTGGTCTGAAACTTCTGATTTCAGATAATTCACCCACCTTGGCCTCCCAAAGTACTGGGATTACAGAGGTGAGCCACCATGCGCCTGGCCATAAAGACATTTTGAGGTAATTATTTAATATAGTGTTTCTGCATACCCCTCAACCAGCTTCCCTTTGAGTTAGTATCTTCCATAACCATAGAAAAATTACCAAAATTAAATAAATCCTGATACCATACTATTAACTAAACTATAGAATGCATGGTGATTTTTCCACTATTGACCCCTCACTGTTTGAATCCAAATGCAGGAACCCATATCGCATTGTCTTGTCTTCTTAATATTCGCCAATTTTTGACAGTTTGAGTCTTTCCTTGTCTTTCATGTCCTTGACACCTCTGAATATAGTAGAAATTCATTCTGCAGAATGCCCCTCCATCCTGGGTTTCTCATTATGTTATGTGCCTAAGTTTATGTGTTATTGGAAAAGATATGGCAGAGGTGATATATCATTTGAAGGGGGCATCATATAAAGGAGGCACACGACATCAATATGCATCAATGGTCATATCAAAAATAATCACCTGGATCCTCCATACAAAGCCAATTCTTCCTTTGGTAATTATCAAATATTTGGGTGAAGAGACCTTGAGAACAGGCAAATATCCTTCTGCTTAAAGTTTTACCAATAATTTTAGCATGCACGGATGGAACCTGCAGCAAACACTACTAGACTGTTCTATTGGTGACTTTCTATTTCTCTTAGTTCTACATTAATTAGAAATCTTCTATAAGAAAGAGCTGTTTGTCATTCAGTTACTTATAACCAACATAGACTCAGATATTTATTTTATTCTTTGGGTTTTATATTTCTTTTGTCCATCGTTTTATTTTGTTGTTCAGATTATTCCAGTGGCAACACTTTCAGTTTGGCCCCTGTGCTCTTTCATATGTCCCCATTCTTCTGAGCACTTCCTTAGTATCTGCACCACAATCTCTCCAGACTCATCTTGTAGTGGAATTAACCAATGCTACAAAGAGCTCTGGTTCCTTCGACTATAGAGTGGTATCTGGAAGCCAAGATCAGGTGCTAGTTGTGCTCTCTGCTACTAGGGATTTATGACTTCTGGGCTAAGACAGCAGATTAAAGAAACATTACAGTGCTAGTTCATGTATGTGCACATAGCAACATTTCTTTACCTATAAAAACATTTTAAAGGACTATTTTATGCATTGCTAAAAAGAAAAGTGGCCAAGAAGACATGATATACCAATTTTAAGTCTTCATTAGATGTTAAAATTTGAAAAAATGTGCACCTTAAAATCAAAATAGTATATGCTCAGATCACTCATCTCCCTTAATACCCCACCTGTCCACAAACCAGAGCCTCTTTTAATACTATTTATTCTCAATTGTTGCCACTTGATCTCATTTCCCTACTAAAAATAATTTTAGTAGCTCTCAGACTAATCACAAAATTAGATCCAGTCCTCATGCTGACAGATTTCACAATTTTAATTCTGATCTTTCCTGTATTCTCTCTCATTAAATCTGTTTTGTGTCCCTTTGTGTGGCAGAACATTTAAGACGCAGAATTACTGAAAAATCTTTAAATACAAAACAGTGAAGATTGACAAATGTCACTTGTGACAGATACAAACTTTGTAATTTTGTTTTAGGTATAGAAACTTGTAAATAGCACAAAGCTATTCCCTCTTGGAGTCACTTTTCTGCCTTTTGTTAGTAGTTTTCTACTTATGTTGTTTATTTAAATTAGAATTTATGCATTCTCTTCTTCTAGTGATTAGTCTTATTCATGGTGGACTGGTTCCAGGAGTGCACCACTTGGATTATCAAAATTCATGGATGCTGAAGTCCCAAAGTTGGCACTACCCAATGATACAAAAGGATGGTCCTCCGTATCCACAGGTTACGCATCTCAAGAGTATTTTTAATCTGCAGCTGATTGAATCCACAGATACAGGGGAAGGATCTGTCTGTTATTTACCAACTTTCAGAGTCTCTGAATATTTGAACATGCTTTTATATTTTGACATTACACTTTAATTGTAAATCAGCCGACAGACTTCAAAGTTAAAAATCCTCTCATAACTTTGAAGATTTAGTCCACTGTCCTCTTATATCTGATGCTGTTAATAAGAAGTTTGTGGTCAATTTACTTCTCATTTCTTTATGGATAGTATTTTCTCTCTTGGGATGTTGGCAAATTTTTATTTATCCTTGGTGTATGGCTCTAAAATTTCAGCAAGATCCTGTTCAAAACTCAGTCTTTCTTCAATTCTGGAAAATGATTTTACTTTTTTCTTTTTTTAGTCGGAGTTTTGCTTTGTCACCCAGGCTGGAGTATAAGGGTGTGATCTTGGCTCACTGCAACCTCCGCCTCCTGGGTTCAAGAGATTCTCCTGCCTCAGCTCCCAAGTAGCTGGGATTACATGCCTACACCACCATGTGGGCCCAACTAATTTTTGTATTTTTAGTTGGGCCACGTTGGCCAGGCTGGTCTTGAACTCCTGACCTCAGGTGATCCTCCCACCTCAGCCTCCCAAAGTACTGGGATTACAGGTGGGTAAGACACCAAGCCCAGCCTACTTTTTTTTTTTTTTTTAATTTTCTTGTATTGACTTCTTCTGAAAATATTAGCAGACTTTCAGAACTTATGACACTGTGTGCATACTTAAATTTACTTTTCTACATTTTTCATTTGCTCTGTTACACTATATTTTGGAAAATTTCCTCCACTTGATCTTCCAGAATGAACTCACTTTGTCTATTTAGTTTTACCAGCTAACATTTCTTGTTGATTTTCATGAGAACAATATCCCTCATTCCTTTCCCTCTTACATCTCTCATATTACACATACTCTAAAATTCGATTTTGCTTGTTCTACTGTTTCTTGAAGTTTGTTGCTAATTGAGTTTAATGGCCTTGTTTATTCAAGCTCTTCGTTTTAACTGCATTTATTAATAGTATCTCTCTTTCACTTCATTTGTTTTCTTCAAATACCTAGTTTTGTGCTCACCATTGTAACTGAAATCCTGCTAGATAATAGTGTTAAAAACCGCACCTGCCTGGCACATCCTGTTTCTGGGAAGAAAATCTAGCAGCTATGCTTATAGCTAACCTATATTAAGTAGTAAACAAGAACAGAATGCAGAATAAAACACACTGCTGAGGGGGAAAAAAAAAAAAACAAAAAACACTAGTAGAGCCAGTTTTCTGAGTAGTAAATACTCTCTACTGCTCCTTTGTGTTGCCCTGAGCAAAGACCATGATGCTTCTCAAAGAACTCAAAGATAGTTACTATTATCATCATCTGTAAATAGACATTCTGACACTCCCTTCCTGGTCTAAGTCATTTCCTATGACGTAGCAGTTCTACTCCTAGACTTACATCCTAGTGAAACTTTTGCACAGAGAGATGTGCACACAAAGGTTCCTAACAGTACTGTTTATAATAGAGCTGGGTGTGGTGGCTCACTCCTGTAATCCCAGCACTTTCGGAGGCCAGGCAAGTGGATCACCTGAGGTCAGGAGTTTGAGATGAGTCTGGCTAACATGGTGAAATCCCGTCTCTACTACAAAAATTAGCCTGGTGTGGTGGCAGGTGCCTATAGTCCCAGCTACTTAGGAGGCTGAGGCAGGAGAATCACTTGAACTTGGGAGGCGAAGGTTGCAGTGAGCCGAGATCATGTCACTGCACCCCCAGCCTGGGTAACAGGAGTCAAAGTCTGTCAAAAAAAAAAAAAAAAAAAAGAAGAAGAAACTGGGCAGAGTTAACAGCCAACAATTGTAGCAGATAAATGGAACATTATATCACAGTAACAGAACTATTGCTACTGCTACCAATATTAAAAACAAAATGCTGCCTTTCTTCAGCTGCCACTAAGTTGCTTAGCCCTTCCGAGAAAGCTAAGGCCGAACTGGGGTGAGGCCCTCTCTTCATCCCTCTAACTAGCATCACATACAGCAGCGCCAGCCCCACATTCGCCAATGTCATGGCCTCTCTCTTGGAGCTCACCGGCACTGCATCTACTTGGCCCTCATTCTGTACCATGATAAGGAGGACAAGATCAATGCCCTCATTAAAGCAGCTGGTGTCAATTTTGAATCTTTTTGGCCTGGCTTGTGTGCAAAGGCCCTGGCCAACATCAACACTGGGAGCCTCATCTGCACTGTAGGGGCTGGTGGTGCTGCTCCAGCAGGAGGTCCTGCCCCCTCCACTGCTGCTGCTCCAACTGAGGAGAACAAAGTGGAAGCAAAGAAAGAAGAATCCAAGGAGTATGATAACATGGGCTTTGGTGTTTTTGATTAAACCTCTTTTATAATGCATTCAATAAAAAGCTGAACTTAAAATTTTTTAAATAAAAATAAAAACAGAATGCTTAATAAACAGAGGCCAGGCGCAGTGGCTCATGTCTGTAATTCCAGCACTTTGGTAGGCCAAGGCAGGCAGATCACCTAAGGTCAGGAGTTTGAGACCAACATGGAGAAACCCTGTCTCTACTAAAAATACAAAATTAGCTGGGCGTGGTGGCACATGCCTATCCCAGCTACTTGGGAGGCTGAGGCAGGAGAATCGCTTGAACCCAGGAGGCGGAGGTTGCAGTGAGCCGAGATCCTGCCATTGCATTCCAGCCTGGGCAACAAGCGAAACTCCGTCTCAAAAACAAAAAATAAATATATAAATAAAAACAAACAGTAAAACAAAAATACTTTTAAATGAAAACAGGCAAAATCCAAAATCATATTAACAGTATATTCATAGGTATTAAAAACCATGACTCAACAGGGAATAATGTCAAATTCCAGAACAAGAAAAATGAAGGGGAAGAGTAATGCCTGCGGCCTCTGAGGGATCAATAACACTATTTTGACCTAGATGCTGGGTACATGTATTTGTTAGTCTTTTGTTGGTTTTTTTTTTTGAGAGGGAGTCTCGCTCTGTCCCCCAGGCTGGAGCGCAGTGGGCGTGATCTCTGCTCACTGCAACCCCGCCTCTTAGGTTCCAGCGATTCTCCTGCCTCAGCCTCAAGAGTAGCTGGGATTACAGGCACCCGCCACCACGCCCAGGTAATTTTTGTATTTTTAGTAGAGACAGGGTTTCACCATTTTGGCCAAGCTGGTCTTGTTCTTGACCTCAGGTGACCTGTCTGCCTTGGCCTCCCAAAGTACTGGAATTACAGGTGTGAGCCATGGTGGCCAGCTTTGTCAGCATTTTTTTTTTTTTTT